TCAATCAAGAATTAAATGCGCAATCAATGTTAATCAAATCAAACAATCCTAAATTGTCTCTAAAAATCAAAATGCACCCAAAAACCATCCAAACCTAAATGAAGCCCTAAAGGCTTATTAATTTCATGATTTATGTTTTTTTAGGGTTTTAGGATTTTTTTAAGGGTTATAACCCCTGAATTTGAGATTTTTCTAAAAATTCGATTTGGACACTTCAAAAAATTCAAATTTCACTTTCTAAGGTTGGCCACAGTGTTTTTAAACCATTCTGTGAATTTTTGAAATTTTTGATTTTTTTTAAGTCAGATTTTTTATTTTTTAAAAATTTGTTTTCGAAATTTTTATGGGATTTTGGGATTTTTCAAATTTTTATGAATTTTGTAAGAATTTTTGAGATTTTTGTGGATTTTCTAAAATTTTCATTTTTTTTTATTTTTTGGACTTTTCTGATTTTTTCTAGATTTTTCACATTTTTGTGGATTTTCGAATTTTTTTAGAGCTTTTTTGAATTTTCTAATTTTTATGAATTCTAATTGGCACCGGCTCTGGCCACTGCCCCGGCGAGACACAGCACCAAAACGGTGCCGTTTCGAGATTTTCTCTTTGGGGCAATTCGTCGAGCGGCTGGTGGGCACAATTTCAAGCTTAGTGTTTTTTAGGCCGCCGGTTTGGATCGATCTCCGGTGACCTTTTGGTGATGTTTTGACCATTTCACTTGATTCAGTGTTGAGTTCATGTTAATCTTTATCAAACTAGCCTGACTAGATCATTGTCGGATCGCTGTCGACCGGCGAAAAACCTATCTAAACACCCTAAGTCATCACTGACCTAAACATGCTTCTCCAAGCTTCAAATCCTTATTCTAATCGCCCTAGCCGTCTAAACCGATCCAAATCAACATCAGAACATCAATCAAGGTGAGAATCAACTAACTTGAGTGGCTTATGACCACAAGAGGCGCTTCGGTGAGGTCAATGAAGCTCCGACGAGAAGGTTTAATGGTGGCCGACTCGGTTTATGTAGGTTTTTCAATCAGAAATGCAATCAAACAATGTAAAACATGATTAGAAAATCATATTAGACCTCAAAGGACTCAAAATTGCCATAGAAATCAAATGATCATCAATATCAAACTCGATCTCACTTTCTGGAGTTCTAGAAAACCATGGCGAGGATTAGATTTTACCTGCTTCGATAAAGGATCAGATGAAGTTTCCGAAGCAAATGGCGATCGTGGAGCTCTTCCTCGGTACTTGGACTTCAATCTGGTGACTTCGGCTTCGTCGGAGAACATCTGGACATGCCGGCTGAGCTTCACTTTCAGGCGACGGTGATCAGCTTCGTCACAACTTCTCAGGTGAGGAGGTTCACTATCGAAGCCGATTTGCCGAGGTTTTTCTCGCCAGAAAAAAGCAGATCGCTCAGTCCTTGGAACCTCGACACACCTTTGAGTACAATCTCTCTCTCTTTTGCACTCGTTCTCTCTCTCTCTTTCTCTCTGGAATTTCGTCGAACATCTTCTCTATGCGCGCGATCATGTTCTTCTCCTCTTTTCTTGATCAATTTTCCCGCTCAAAATCAGTTTCCACCGACTTAGAATCAGTTGGAACGATTCTCTGGCGCCAGCTGGAGATTCTCCAGCTGGCTAACTTGATTTTCACGTGCTAAATTGATCATATGAAGTAGGCAAAGTCACGGGTTCAACTGGATTTTTTCTGGATTTTATGTGCTTTGGGCGAACCGGGTGAAGGGGATGACTGACCCGGGTCGGGTCGGGTCGGGTTGACCCGGCTGACCCGGTAAGTCCGGTTTTGACTAAAAATTCAAATTGAGCCCAATTTTTTTTTATCGATATTTCCAAATTAAACCCCAAAATTGAATTCCTCGTACTATTCTAAACCCAAATATGTGATTTTCCCCAATTTTTGACAAAATCATGTCCAAGATTTTTAACTTTTTGTACTCGAGTTATTGGGTCTTTGTTCAATTCGATTCCTTAATGACCTTATTAGGTAAAATTGGTGCCAAAATTGAATTACCCACATCTGATTAACCCTAGAAATGATGGTCTCATGGTTCAATAATTTCGAATTGGACACGATTCCAATTTGGGCTCAAAATTCTTAATTTTCAATTGAATTTTGGGGTTTTCTGATTTCTTTGTTGAATTGTTCAATTGGACCGACCATTATGTAATTCAAGGTCCCAAAATCATTTGTTACGAAGATACCATGACTTAAAAATGACTAGAAAAGATCTAATTGCATTTTTGGTTCAATTCGAGTTTGATTTTGCCCAATTTTGGGAAAAACACATGCCCGATTGAGATTTTCCAAAATTGATGATGCATTAGTGAAATTGGATTTAAAAGAAGACTAAGGACTATTTTTATGGAATTTTCTGACTCCATTTGCTATTTTTCTTGATTTTCTCACTCATTTTGACTAAATGAAATTAAAGAAAAATTCAGGAAAATGCTATAAAAAAATCATTTTTGGTTTAGAAATAAGTTTCTAGTCTTGTCCAAGATTCCTAATCCTAATTTTGAGATTTTTGAAAATATGAAAAAAAAAAGAGCTAAAAATCAAGTGTCAACAGAGGGTTGTTCCATGCTCATCTATTTAAGCACGCTATAATGAATAACAGGGCAAGACTTATTTGATTCAAAACTAATTGAGCTTTTGGCTGAAGAACAATATGGATTTCTTATTTTATTCTTATCTCTTAGGTGGATTCCTACGAATGGGGAGTATTGCTCTTATCTCTTAGGTTAATCACCTACGAGTGGCAAGCGTCCTATCCATTAAAGTTCTCACTTGTGTTGTCCCATACTTCTCTACACTTTCTCTGGCGTCATTATGGTCATCTTCACAAGCCAAGAACCATCATTAGTCGTCACATTTCGTGAAGCAAATAAAAGCGTGTGGAAATCAGATTAGGAGGGTGTGGTTCACCCCGAAACGGCGACTCTTTACCATATAATGTATAGTAATATCAACAGTACAGACATCGCACGACACGCCGTTTCAGTAGAGCCACCATGCATGACGCAGAATTTGCTCCATCGCTGGGGGTCGTTGCCAAAGTTGCACTTGTAATTTAATCTGAGAAGTTGGACTTAGTAGCAGAATGGTAATGGGGTGTGTCTTTTGATTATGACATCCGACCAAGATCGAATAAATTTGTTATAACTAATATAGAGTAATGATATTGAAAGATCGCATGAATGAAACTAAAGTTAGATGTGGTCTTAAGAAGTTTTTCTTTCTGTGGTGTGAGAAACTTGAAGATGGAGTGAAAGAAAACTAGTAATGACCATAAGTCATAATGGGGCATGTATAAACATCGTTTCATTTAGGGCTTGGGCTGTGTTATCGTGTAAATTGCAAAGTCAAACCGAAAGGAACCTTATAGAGAGTCAAGGTAAACAAACTACGGAAGGGAAAGATTTGTGTTGTGTGGGTTAACTTCTAATCCCAGTAAAAGGCTACCATCGAGACCGACCCAAGGGGCTGGCGGCAGCGGCCACTAGGTACCTAATTCGATCCTAAATGAATTTTTGTCACATTTTGACAGAATTTCCAAATGAAATGTCTGTATCTGATCCGCTTAAACTTGGGAACTTAGCTTGTTCCCTCTAAGTCAAGACTCTGAGAACGCCTCTGAAAAATCTGGTATAAGAAGTGTTTACTAAGAACAGTCTATAAGATACTGATGCACTATGCGAAATATAAGGTCATATGCTTATGATCCTATGGTCCCCTAGATGCTATATCTGTAAGGTCGTACATTTGAGGACTCAAATAATCAGCAACTAATCGGAGGAACAACATTTGGATATATGCTTTGGACTCCACCAACCCAATAATTGTCATTGTCAATGAATATGCATCAAGGCATACAGATTTCTAAGGCATTGCTTATGTTGCACTAATTTGTAACAATGCAACGAGGTCTCCCAGACTCTGTCTATCACTCATCATGATTCATTGATGTAAATCATCACCGTTGAATAATGGAAATGGTGTTTGTTTCGTTAAGAAAGCTTTCTTCTTGCGCATACTATAAACCATGATTAATACTGCTGTACCACGGGAGCCGAAAAGAATCTATTAAATGAGTTTCCTCCTGAAGTTTCCCTTCGCAACATGGAATATACTTTCATCGGCAAAACTCCTTAAAGGAGAAGAAGAGCATCAAATATACACTTCTTCTTGAAAAGAACGAAAGTATCGTCATGTTAAGACACAACAGCTCTGCCGAATTAGAACTTCTAAAACGTTAAATTTAAAATAGAAGAAGAAAGTTCTCTCTCTCCCCCCGCCTCAGGTCTTCTCTTCATGCAATGCTCGGTCGAAATCAAAAGAAGGAAGAGAGTGATGCAACTAGCGATAGAAATCTGCAAGCACAACTTTCTTGTTAGAAATTAAACCAAATTCATAAATGTCGAGACTATTGATGAACTATCATGTTGCCGATATTATCGGTTACCTCGTTACCAATATTCCAGAAGCAATGTTGATGACTGTTCGGTGTATGAGTTAAATAGAGTCTTTATTGTAGTGTTGTTTTCAAAGAGTCTGTTCGTATTTTTATGTCTTGACTATTCGTGTTTCTAGGTCTAGTTAATGTTATGTAAATTCCTAGGAATCTATCTCCTTGAAATGGTAGAGTACATTTATTAGTCATTTAAGAGTTAGTCCAAGAGTCATGTACAAGCCTCTTTAAAGGCAGGTCTTGTAATTGTGTGAGATATGGGATATAAGGTGATACTGATAAGGTGATACCGATAAAGGTGAAACCGATAAGGTGGTACCGATAAAAGCCTTTTTGTCTCCTTCTCTTAAGTTATATGAATTGTGAGTGTTTTCACCTTCGAATTTATCTCATCAAATTAGTATCAGAGCTTACGGTTTGTGATCATGGTCTCAACAAATAATCAGCTTTCTCTTCAATACCCTCATCTTACCAAAGAAAATTATGGTAATTGGGCTGCTAGAATGAAAACCCAACTCAACGCCTATAGTGTGTGGGAGATTGTCAACACCGGCTATGATGAGCCAGAGGACAACGCCACATTGAATCAAAACCAGAGGAATGCCTTGGAGAAAGTTCAAGCAAAAGATCAATATATCCTGTCAATCATCTATCAAGCTTTAGATGATTCGATACTCGAGAAGGTGTCAAATCCTTTTACTTCTAAGGAAGCATGGGAGATTCTTTACAACACGCACCAAGGAGTGCAAAAAGTTCAGAAGATTTTCCTTCAAACTTTGAGAGGTGAATTCGAGGCAATCCGTATGGAAGAATCTGAATTGATTGCCGATTATTTCACAAGAGTGTTGGGAATTGTCAACCAAATGAAAAGAAATGGAGAAGATGTTGAAGATGTTTGTGTTGTCGAGAAGATTCTTCTATCCTTAGACAAAAAGTACGACCATATTGGCATTGCGATTGAAGAGTCCAAAGACCTTGATGCCACGACGATCGATGAGCTCATGGGTTCATTGCAAGCCCATGAAGAAAGATTCAGAAGAAACAAGAATGAGCCGGTGGAGGAAGTACTCCAAACTCGGTTGACCATCTGAGATGAGAAGGAGCAAAGTAGAGATCCTGTGAAAACTCGTGGGACTCATCAAGATCGAGGTCGAGGCCGAGGCCGAGGTCGCTTTCAAGGAAGAGGTCATGGACGAAGTAGAGGAGATATTGCTCGAAATGATGGAAAATACCAAAATCAAAGAGGTGCTCATGGAAGAGGATAGAACTCGAGAGGGCAATGGTATGATAAATCTAAAATTCGATGTTATCATTGCAATAAACTTGGCCATTATGCTTCTGACTGTTGGAACAAAGAGAGTAGCTAAGCAGATGAAAAGGCAAACTTGGTGAATGATGCCGAGCAAGTTCTTTTATTGGCATTTAAAGAAGATGAAGGAAGACAAAATGATACGTGGAACTTGGATACCGGTGCAAGCAACCACATGAGCGGGCAAAAGGAGATGTTTGCCTAGTTAGATGAGACAGTCAAAGGGAAAGTCTCATTCAGTGATAATTCTAAAATTCTTGTCAAAGGCAACGGTACAATTTTGATTCATTTGAAGAATGGTGCACATTAGTTTATTACTAATGTTTATTATGTACCAAAGATGTCAAGCAATATCTTGAGTTCGGGACAACTTCTGGAGAAAGGTTATACTTTCCACATGAAGGATCTTAGCCTTGTGCTAAGAGATCAAAATAACAAATTGATTGCAAAAGCAAAGATGTCGAAGAACGGGATGTTCACTCTCAATATAAAGAATGACATGTCTCGATGCTTAAAGGCATGTGTGGATGATCCTTCGTGGTTGTGGCATTTGAGGTTCCGTCATCTCAATTTTGGTGGACTCAATTTACTTTTCTACAAGAAAATGGTTTATGGCTTACCACATATTGATCATCCCGATCAATTATGTGAAGGGTGTGTTTATCGGCAAGTACTTCAGATCTAGCTTTCCAAAGGAAGCATCTTATTGAGTAAAGAAGCCACTTGAGTTGATTCATTCTGATGTGTGCGGTCTAATCACTCCTCAAACATATGATAATTATCGATATTTTGTTACTTTTATTGATGATTTTACTCAAAAAAACTTGGATGTATTTCTTGAAGTAAAAGACAGAAGTGTTTGATACTTTCAAACAATTCAAGAACTTGACTAAAAAGGAGAGTGGCTATTTTATCAAAGCCATAAGGACTAATCGAGGAGGAGAATTCACTTTAGCCATATTCAACAAATTCTGTGAAGATCATGGTATTCGACATTTCTTGACGGCTCCATATTCTCCTCAACAAAATGGCGTGGCTAAACAAAAAAAAAACAGAACCATTCTTGATATGGTTCGTAGCATGTTGAAAAGCAAAAATCTGCCAAAGGAACTTTGGGGTGAAGCTGTTATGTGTGCTATCTATCTACAAAATAGATGCCCTACATATGGACTTGAAGGCGTAACTCCACAAGAGGTATGGAGCGGGAGAACACCAAGTGTTTCTCATTTGAGAATTTTCGGGAGCATTGCCTATGCTCATATCCCGGACCAAAAAAGATCGAAGTTGGAAGACAAGGGCAAAATGCTCATTTTCATCGGGTATGATACCTCATCCAAAGCTTATCGATTATTTGATCCTAACACATTGAAAGTATATATAAGCAGAGATGTCAAGTTCAATGAAGAAGGCATATGGCAAGACAATCTTGAAGACGAAGCAAATGCTCGTGATGATTCAAGACAAATGGAGTTGAAAGATCTCTCTTCACCTTCTTCTCCGATATCTTCTTCAAGTTCATCACCATCAACTTCTTCAAATGGTGTCGATAAACTGCTAGTGCCAAGATCAAGGAGATTATTTGAAATTTATGAAGCTACCGATGAGCTTCACCTTGTATGCCTTCTTGCAGATTTAGAACCGCTTGTCTATGATGATGCTGCCAAAGAAGAAAAATGGAGAAAAGCCAAGAATGAAGAAATTGAAGCCATCGAGAAGAATCAAACATTGGAACTTGCTGATCTTCCGAAGGACAAGAAATTGATTGGTGTGAAATGGGTGTACAAGGCCAAAAAGAATGAGAAAGAAGAAGTGACAAGATACAAGGCTAGATTAGTCGTGAAGGGGTACAAACAAAAGGCTGGAATCGACTATGATGAGGTATTTGCTCCCGTTATCCGCATGGAAACAATTAGATTAATCATTTCTATTGCAGCTCAAAATGATTGGCAAATTTATCAAATCGATGTCAAATCAGCATTTTTAAATGGCAACCTTGATGAAGAAATTTATGTCGAGCAACCCAAGGAGTTTATTGTGAAAGGTCATGAAGATAAAGTGCTGAGGTTGAAGAAAGCTCTATATAGGCTTAAACAAGCACCGTGAGCATGGAATTTCAGAATCAATGCCTATTTCAAGGCAAATGGTTTCTCTCAATGTCCATACGAACATGCACTTTATTTGAAGCAAGAAAAAGGTGATGTTCTATTGGCTTGTTTATATGTTGATGACCTTATTTTTATAGGAAATAATTCAGGAATGATCGATGCTTTTAAGGCATCGATGGGGAAGGAATTTGATATGACGAATAATGGTCTCATGAATTATTTTCTTGGCATTAAAGTGAAGCAAAGTGCAGGTGGGGTTTTTATTTCCCAAAAAGGATATGTAGAAAATATCCTTGAAAAATTTAGCATGGAAAATTGTACACCGGTCAATACACCGATGGAATGCGGAACCAAGTTGTCGAAGTTTGATGACGGTGTTGATGTTGATCCATCGTATTATAGAAGCTTGATTGGAAGCTTGAGATATCATGTATAGTGTTGGAATTGTGAGTCGATACATGGAGAAACCGAAGTCATCTCATCTTAAAGCGGCAAAGAGGATACTTCGATACATCAAAGGTATTGTTACTCATAGGTTACACTACTATCAATATTCATCCTTTCAGCTTAGAGGTTATTTAGACAGTGATTATGGTGGAGATATCGATGATCGAAAAAGCACTACAGGTTTTGTGTTTTCTTATATGACACCGCTTTCACGTGGTCATCAAAAAAGCAGTCTAGTGTTATTCTTTCGACATGTGAAGCTGAATAAGTAGCGGCATCTTCATGTGCTTGTCATGCAATGTGGTTGAGAAAACTCTTGAAAGAAATTCATATGGAGCAGTTGAAATTGACAGAAATTTTTGTTGATAATGTTTCTGCTATTGCTTTTACGAAAAATTCAGTTTTTCATGAACGAAGCAAACATATTGATGTTCGATATCACTTTATTCGAGAACAAGTGAATGAGAAGGAAATTGAAGTGTCACATGTGAAGACCGAAGATCAAGTTGTAGATATTTTTACGAAACCTCTAAAGATCGATGCTTTTCGGAAGTTCAAGAGTTTGCTTGGAATGATTGATGGAAGAGAATTTCGTTTAAGGGGGAGTGTTAGAAATTACACCAAATTCATAAACGTCGAGACTATTGATGACCTGCCGAGTTGCCAATATTATCGGTTACCTCGTTACCGATATTCCAGAAGCAATGTTGATGACTGTTCGGTGTGTGAGTTAAATAGAGTCTTTATTGTAGTGTTGTTTTTAAAGAGTCTATTCGTATTTCTATGTCTTGACTATTTGTGTTTCTAGGTCTAGTTAATATTGCGTAAATTCCTAGGAATCTATCTCCTTGAAATGGTAGAGTACATTTATGAGTCATTTAAGAGTTAGTCCAAGAGTCATGTACAAGCCTATATAAAGGCAAGTCTTGTAATTGTGTGAGATATGGGATATAAGGTGACACCGATAAATATGTAATCGATAAGGTGATACTGATAAAGGTGAAACCGATAAGGTGGTACCGATAAAAGCCTTTTTGTCTCCTCCTCTTAAGTTGCATGAATTGTGTGTTCTCACTTTCGAATCTATCCCAGACCTCACTATCCTCCCTTTACATTCTCTCTTTTATTGTCTATAAAGCATTTCTACGCAATTCTCTCTCTAGCTAAACCCCAAGAAAAATCACCCTCACGCACCTCTCGTGTCGCCACCGCCGTCGCCACCGATGCTGTCGGCGAAACCTAAACCCCTCACTGATGACAACCTGCCCCTCTTCACTCCGAACCAGCGGCTCGAGCTCCAAGGATACAGCCACAAAGCCAGGCCCGATGGCTCCTCCTCGACCCTCGCCGAGCTCCTGAGGACGGTTGAAGAAGCTCAAGTTGGCGACCAAACGCCTTCAACGCCGTCAAACCATGTCCTCCAGGTGACCTCCTTGGTGTCCTCCTCCATCTCCATGCCAACGGCCTATCCCTTCGTGCTCTCCTTCAAGAACTTGACTTACAGCGTCAACGTCCCAGGGAAGCTGGGCTTCTCATCACTGCTCTGCCGCGAGAAGTTTGGTGATGGCGCGGGCTTGCCAGGGCGGGCCAGCACCAAGGTCTTGCTCAACGACATCTCCGCAGAGGCCAGGGAAGGAGAGATAATGGCCGTCCTTGGCATGAGTGGCTCGGGAAAGTCAACGCTCATCGACGCCCTCGCAGACCGGATCTCGAAGGAGAGCCTTGGAGGGGCCATCACGCTGAACGGCGAGGTTCTAGAGTCACGGCTCCTGAAGGTGATATCAGCCTATGTCATGCAAGACGACCTCCTCTTCCCGATGCTGACAGTGGAGGAGACGCTCATGTTCTCCGCCGAGTTCCGGCTCCCACGCTCGCTCTCCAAGTTGCGGAAGAAGGCGCGGGTCCAGGCGCTGATTGATCAGCTCGGCCTTCGGAATGCTGCGGGCACGGTGATTGGCGATGAAGGCCACCGCGGCGTATCTGGCGGAGAGCGGCGGCGCGTCTCCATTGGCATCGACATCATCCACAACCCAATCATCCTGTTCCTTGATGAGCCGACCTCTGGCCTCGACTCGACGAGTGCCTTCATGGTGGTGAAGGTACTGCAGCGGATTGCCCAGAGTGGGAGTATCGTGGTCATGTCAATTCACCAGCCGAGTTACCGGATAATGAGCCTCCTCGACAGGCTGATCTTCCTCTCTCATGGGAACACAGTCTTCAATGGCTCGCCAGCTGACTTGCCCGAGTTCTTCTCCAAGTTCGGGCATCCGATCCCAGAGAACGAGAACCAGACCGAGTTTGCGCTTGACTTGATCCGCGAGCTCGAAGAGACTCCCGGGGGGACAAAGAGCTTGGTGGAATTCAACAAGTCGTGGGAAGAGAAGCAACAGTCATCGAGCCTCCAGAACCACGTCGTCACGTGGACAGGACCGAAACCCTCGCTCAAGGACGCCATCAGCGCGAGTGTCTCGAGGGGCAAACTTGTCTCAGGTGGCAGCGGCGGTGACTCAAGCCAAGTCGCCTCCGTCCCGACCTTCGCGAACCCGTTCTGGATGGAGATGCTGGTGATCTCCAAGCGGACGCTGACCAACTCCCGGCGGATGCCGGAGCTCTTTGGGATCCGGTTTGGTGCTGTCATGGTCACAGGGATAATCCTGGCGACCATATTCCGCCACCTCGACAACTCCCCAAAGGGCGTCCAGGAGCGGCTCGGTTTCTTTGCCTTAGCCATGTCGACCACCTTCTACACCTGCGCGGAGGCCATTCCAGTCTTCCTGCAGGAGCGCTACATTTTCATGCGAGAGACCGCGTACAACGCGTACCGCCGCTCCTCCTACGTCCTTGCCCAATCCATCATCTCCGTACCCTCCCTCGTCATCCTCTCCTTCGCCTTTGCGGCCGCCACCTTCTGGCCCATGGGCCTCGCGGGCGGGTTCTCGGGGTTCATGTTCTTCTTCTACGCAATGGTTGCGTCCTTCTGGGCAGGGAGCTCCTTTGTGACCTTCCTGTCCGGTGTCGTCCCCCATGTCATGCTCGGGTTCACCATCGTCGTCGCCATCCTCGCCTATTTCCTGCTCTTCAGTGGCTTCTTCATCTCGCGGGACCGCATCCCGCTCTACTGGATATGGTTCCACTACCTCTCGCTCGTGAAGTACCCATACGAGGCCGTGCTCCAGAACGAGTTCGACCACCCGGCCAAGTGCTTCATGCATGGGATGCAGATGTTCGACAACACGCCCCTCGCGGCGGTGCCGGAGGTGCTGAAGCTGAGGCTGCTGCAGAACATGGGCAACACCTTGGGCATGAACCTGACCGGGTCGACATGCGTGACCACCGGGGTCGACATACTAAAGTCGCAGGGGATCACGAACATCAGCAAGTGGAATTGCCTGTGGGTCACCATCGCGTGGGGGTTCTTTTTCAGGATCCTGTTTTATTTTTCGCTCTTGTTGGGGAGCAAGAATAAGAGGAGGTGAAAAAATAAGACTGGTCGGAAGACAATGGCTGTTTAAATTGGTTGATTGGTTGTTTTGTAGTCGGGAAAAAACCACCAAAAATCCCAAACTATGCCACTTATGACACATTTACCCCATAATACTTTTTCCTAGGGCATTTTCGTCTTTTTTCTTTTTTTTTTCTTTCTTCTTCTCTCTTCCCTCCGCTGGCCACGGCGGAGGGAAGCCGGCGAGGGTTGCCCTCGCCGGCGTTGGGGTTGGGCGAGGGCTGCCCTCGCCGGATCTGGCAAGGGCGACCCTCATCCGACGCCGGCAAGGGTTGCCCTCGCCTGGGCGAGCGAGGGGGACCCTCGCCCGATGTCGGCAAGGGTCGCCCTCGCCTGGGCAAGCGAGGGCTGCCCTCGCCTGGGCAAGCGAGGGCTGCCCTCGCCCGACGCCGGCGAGGGCAGCCCGATGCCCAACCCCAACGCCGGCGAGGGCGGCCCTCGCGCAACCCCAACGCCGATGGAGGGAAGAGAGAAGAAGAAAGGAAAAAAAAAACAAAAAAAAAAAAGGAAAAAGACGAAAATGCCCTAGGAGAAAGTATTATGGGGTAAATGTGTCATAAATGGCATCGTCTGGGGTTTTTCGTACCACAAAAAAAAATTCAAGATAAATTTATCACAGGTAGTATAATTTGAGATTTTTGATGATCTTTTACCTTTGTAGTCTGTTTTTTGTTTTCGTACCACGACAAATGTAACGGCTAAAAGAGACAGCATTTGTCTAATTTCCAGCGGGTGGAACTGTCCAAGTTTTTTGTTCCAACGAGTACGTTACAGTACTGAGTTTTTTTTTTTTCCTTTTTTTCTCTAATTAAGATGGCTGACATCTGATGAGAGAGTTAGACTTGATGGGAAATGGTGAGGCTCCATCGTGTGTTTGTACGTGGATGGGTAGGTCATTTAACTTCCGTTTATTCCCTGAAAAATGAACTCTGCTTGCAAATATTTTTAAAAGAAGTAATTTTCACTAAAAATGATTTTATAATACTTATTTGTATATTGCAAATAATAGAGTTATTTTCTAATGTTTGTTTTAAAGAAAATCATGGAACACGAGTCAGAAAATAAATCTTGAGTACAAATTCCCGGGACTTGGGGACCGAGGCACAATCACTAGGGAATCAAGCATAGGTATGAGGATCCAAAACCTGAGGGCCAAGGTCTCGGGCCCAACTCGAGGGACCTGCTCGGTCTCATGCCTGAGCGCCAAGGACTTGGGCACAATTGCAAGGTCCCATTTGCCGAGGATCCGAGCATGGGCATTGGGGCCTTGGCCTGGCCTCAAGGGACCCAAGCTTGACCACCGAGAACTCTATCCTGACCTTGGGAGATCTAGGGTGCTGGTTGTGTCATCCGAAAAATTCCCTTGTTCGATAATAGTATTTAAGACTAATTTCCCTTACCGACTTGCCAAGAGTCTAAGGCATTTAGAATTAAGTTGGTAGATTTCGACGTGTACATTCGTGGTGTAGGATGGTTTCCCCTAGGTATAGTGATGGAGGGGACGATATGATGCCTGAAACCATCAACTTCTGAGTTGGATGGTGGTTTGCTTTTAGGTTATTGTGAGAGTAGTGATGCTAATAGACCCAACCCTTTTCCCAGGCCTATGTATTTTGTTGTGTTAATAACTACTGGTGTTTGTATAAAGTTGAAGATGTGTATATTATGAAACTAGTGCGATTTTCTTGTAAGGAATGTTGCGAAAATTTTATTATGCTTTCGCATGCGTAATTACAAATATGAGATATAATAAGAAAGGACACATGTCGCATGTTATGTTCTAGGGCATCACAGCCTGTTTTGGTATCAGAGGAGGTTAACCATGGAGTAATAATATGCGCTTAAAGGTTGGAATGGTGGAGTAGGTCACGCGCGTCTAAAATACTAAATGCATGTGTTTGCTCTTGATTGGTTGCGTGGTTCAAGTAACTTTTGTTACTTACTAACTAGCTATTAAGTTAGGTGATATTTGCAGGCCTTGTAAGACAAGATGAGTTCCGGTGGTAATTCGAGACAATATCCTCGGATGGAAGGAATCCTTTAGGCGCTTGCTAATGTTGGAAGTTTGATGGAGAAGCATGCACTGCAACAAAGTGTATGTAGTTTGGGTAATGGCGAGCGCCATTTACAAGGTTTGATCGAGAAATTCTTGAAGCTAAAACCCCAATCTTCAAGAGGCGGAATCATGGATTGATGGGATGGAGAAGATATTCAACTTGCTGCTTGCAACAATATAGACAAGATAGCCATAGCTAAGTACCAACTCCAAGGACATGCCAAACATTAGTGGAAGGCATCTAAAGAAATGGTATTTCCGGAGGGTACTACGATGATTTGGGGTGGTTTTGTCAAGGCATTTTTCGGAAAGTATTTCTTGAATTGTGCCTAAGAAAATGATGAAATTCGCGCAGTTGAAATAGAATGATCTGACAGTGGATCAATATGAGGCTAAGGGTCTGTTTAGTAACGTTTCTGTTTCTTTGTTTTCCTGTTCTTCTGTTCCCCGGAACAGAAAAAGAACAGAAATCTGTTTAGTAAAAAAAATCTACTTTTTTGTTTCTGGAACAAAAAAGTGATCCTGGAATAGATTTGGAACAGAAACAAGAAGCAAAAAAAATCTACTTCTTTGTTTCTGGAACAAAAACAAGAAACGATTTTTTCTGGAATCCTCCAAAAATAAGAAACAATCCATCGGCCGCAACCTGCCCACCGCCGCCTCTCGCCGTCCTTCGCCGCCACCTACCGCCCGCCTTCCACCGCCGGCCAACGCCCGCCGGCCGCCTCCCGCCCGCCGGCCACTTGCCAACGCCCGCCGGCCGCCTCTTGTTGTCAACCACTGTCCTCCGCCGCTCGACACTTGTCGCCACCCGCCACCGGCCGCCGTCCCCACCGCTAGCCGCCGTGCTCCATCGCCCGATGCCGGCCGCCACCCGGGCCCTGGCCGCCTCCCCCCGCCAACCACCCGACGCTGGCGATCACCCACCACCGGTCGCCGTCCTCCGCCGTTGGCGACCACCCACCACCGGCCGACATGCTCCGCCGCCGGCCATTGTGCTCCACCGCCTGACGCCGACCACCACCCGACGCTGGCTGCCCTCGGCTGCCGGTCACCTACCGCCCCTGGCCACCCGACGCCGGTGGTCACCCGCCATCAGCCGCCATCCTTTGCCACCGGCCGCCGTGCTCCATCGACCGACGCTGGCCACCCTCCGCCGCCAGCCACCTCCTGCTGCCGCCCCCCGCTGCCGTCACTGCCGCACGACGTCACCAAGCTCCGCCGCTGACCGCCATGCTCCACTGCCTCTCGCCGCCGGCCGCCATCCTCTGCCGCCGCCGACCACCGTCCTCCGCCCCCCACCGCCACCCACCGTCCTCCGCCGGTAGCCCAGAAGGGAGAAACTCGTCCATGGAATAGAAATGGATCATTCGCATCCTAAATGCGTTTCTATTCTTTTTCTATTTCAGGAATAGAAATTTTGTGTAGTTATTAAACGCTATTTTTTGCTCAGAAACTATTCCAAGAAATAAAAATAGAAAAAACTATTTCTGATTAGAAATTATTTCTGAGAACAGAAACGTTGCTATGTAGACCCCAAGTTTGCAGAATTGTCAAGGTTTGCCCCTAGGTAAGTTGAAAATAAAGAAGACAAAGTAAATAGATTTTGGGATGGCTTGAGACCAGATATTAGGAGTAGGCTCATACTGTTGAATCTAAAGGATTATAATGACCTGTATGAACGTGCCCAACTTGTGGAGAAAGATTTGGCAGAGCTAGGAACTGCGACTTTTCAAGTAAGACCTAATCATCAAGCCTTTCAACTCGATTTTCAAAGTGATTAGAGGCCCATGCAGATGGAAAAGCAAACATTTGTCTCGAGTAAAAGGAGCAACATTAGGGGGCTTGGCTTAGCACAAGACAATCAATTGGGGGTGCGGATGCAGTATCAAAATATCGTTTGCCGATATTGTGGGAAGCAACATGGAAGTGCACCATGCTTGTCTCATACGGGAGCTTGTTTTTGGATGTGAACAACAAGGCCATTAAATAAGGGAGTGTCCTTTGGCAGCGCGGCATCAACGTAACATGCCGGTGCAACGGCCGCCACAAAACAAAGCTTTGAAACAAGGAAATTTCCGAAGGCCACCACCTCAAGGCCGAGTTTATGCGGTTAAGCAAGAGGAAGCCGAGGCTTTCAAGTTGGTTATATGAAGTAATTCCAAATTTCGAAGACGAAATTTCTTTAAAGGGGAAGAGTTGTGACATCTAGAAAATTCCCATATTCGATAATAGTATTTAGGACTAATTATTAAAATATGTCTCGAGTTTGAATTCGAAGTAAAAACACGAATTTTGAAATTTTGAATTAAAATATAAAAAAGAGAATCCAAGACCAAGTTTCGAAAATTAGTTTTTCGAATATGTGTCGGAGTCGTTGGGCTGAATTGGAAAGGCCACCTGGGACCTTGATATAGATATTGACTCGGTCAACAGTCGTCTAAGAACAAAAGACAAAAGGTTACTGTCTTCTTTGTTGCTGAGTGGAAAGAAAAAAAAAAAAAGGAAAGTCCAATGTGGACTTGGGTTTGACCGAGCCGCACTATTTCCTTTATAAATTGAGTCGGCCTGGGCATCCTTTTTATTGCGGAAGCCAAGCGATTGAATAATAAAATTGACAGAACAAAAAAATAAATCGGATATTAGATTTACGTGATTCGGTCGTAGTAAACTACATCCACGAGAAGAGTAGCACGGAATTTCACTATAGATCAAGCGATATAATTAAGATTACAACAACACTCGAGTCACTCAAACACTCTAAGTGTTTCCCAAGCCTTAATTACACCCAATAATACACGCAGTGTTTAGCCTCAATAATTTCTCACGAAATAATCTCTCAAACTCGTGAAGGAATTGTAAACAAATCTTACCACAAGATTTACGCTTGAACAGTAATTCTTTTTGGATGTAATTCACAAAC